CGGCGGGAAGGTCTATGCCTTGGACGAGACGTGGCACCCGGACCTGGGGGAGCCCTTTGGGGTGATGCGCTGCGTTCTGTGCGCCTGTGAGGCGGTGAGTGAACCCTACGGCCGCCTCTCGGGGACCTCTGGGGTTCTGAGACGTCGGAGTGCACTCTAGTTGCTCAGGAGGAAGAGACTGGTCCACAGATACTTGGGATGAGTTTTCTGGCGAAGGAAGCTGGGATCGCCCCCTTTAAGTCTCAGGTGTTCACTACTATTGATCGCTCACTCTGTGCCTTCCGTGTCTCTCTCTCTCTCTCTCTCTCTCTCTCTCTCTCTCCTACCATTATAACTTTGCTAGATAGATAACACTATTATCCCCATTTTCCAGAGGGGGACCCTAAGGCCCAAAGAAGTTAAGCGACTTGTCTAGGGTCTTTCCACCTGTAAATGCCAGAGCTTTCGGACTCTGCCTGTGGACCTTGCACTGGTCCCTAGACTCTCCCTCTTTGCCCTGGAGTCTAACGGTCTGACATCTTGCACTCACTTGATTTTTCCCTGTTCTCTGAGATCAGCCACAGTGGGGTCGCCGTGGGAGGGGCCCTGGCAGGGTCAGCTGCAAAAACATCAAACCTGAGTGCCCAACGCTGGCCTGTGGGCAGCCGCACCAGCTACCAGGACACTGTTGCCAGACCTGCCCCCAAGGTATGAGCAGCTCTGCGGTAAGGGGAGGGCAACGGGGTGCAATACTAGGTCCTGGGCTAATTGGATTGGGGTGGCCTGCTGTAGCCTGTGTCTCTTACCCCTGGCACAGAGCGCAGCAATTCGGAACAGCAGCGGCCGGGCCTGTCCTTCGAATATCCCAGGGATCCGGAGCATCGCAGTTACAGTGATCGCGGGGAGCCGGGTGCTGAGGAAAGGGCACGCGCAGACGGCCACACGGGTAAGAGGGGATGGGTGTGTTAGAGGTAGTCCTGGGGGCGGCCGTCAGCGATGGTTGACAGTGCTCATAACGTCTTCCTCCCTTGGCAGACTTCGTGGCGCTGCTGACTGGGCCGAGGTCGCAGGCAGTGGCACGTGCCCGAGTCTCACTGCTACGCTCCAGCCTACGCTTCTCCATCTCCTACCGGAGGTGAGAAAGGGGAAGAAGGGAGGAGCGGGTCAGCTGGGGGAACTGCAGAGGGGAAGAAGAACTGAGAAAGCTGGGTAAGGGTGTGTGTGGGGGTGCTGCTTTTGGCTCAGGCTCCCCGTCCAGCCTTACTGGACTTTTCATTTCCAGGCTGGATCGTCCCAGCAGGGTCCGCTTCTCAGATTCCACCGGCAGCATCCTCTTTGAACACCCTGCATCCCCCACCCAAGATGGCCTGGTGAGATGATGCCATTTATGAGCGCTTATCCAGTCTGGGCACTGTGCTGAGAGCATGCTCTGCATTGCCTCCTTTGGTCCTCAGAACAACCCAGTGGGAGGAAGGCACTGACATTATGATGCCCATTTTACAGATGAGGGAACTGAGGCTCAGTAGCAGAATGTGATTTGTTCAAGGTCACACAGCTAGTAAGTGGTGGAGCCAGGATTTGAACCCAAGCATCTGGCTCCTGGGCACCTTCTTAAGCTTCCTAGGAGGGCCTGGGGGCTCCCTTCCATATTCCTTCCTCATCAGGCCTGGGCCTCTTAGCTGGCCTGTCCGGCATACTGTCTGAGTGTGGGCCCTTCTTGTCTCTCTGTTACAGGTCTGTGGGGTGTGGCGGGCAGTGCCTAGGTTGTCTTTGCGGCTCCTTAGGGCAGAACAGCTGCATGTGGCCCTTGTGACACCTACTCACCCTTCAGGGGAGGTCTGGGGGCCTCTCATTCGGCACCGGGCCCTAGCTGCAGGTAAGGGGAATATGCAGCTGCTGAATATGAAGAAAACTCTTTATATTCTCAGGGTGGGCTGAGAAGGGGATTTTCTGATGGGCTGTCACCATCCTCCCTCCTTCAGAGACCTTCAGTGCCATCCTGACTCTAGAAGGCTTACAACAGCAGGGTGTGGGGGGTATCACCCTGCTCACCCTCAGTGATACAGAGGACTCCTTGCATTTCTTGCTGCTCTTCCGGGGCCTGCTGGAACCCAAGAGTGTGGGTAAGTGTGGTGGGGAAAGTGTGAGAGAGGGCAGAGAGGGTACCTATCTCTTAGAAATGTCCACATGTATGCCCATTACAGGAGCAACCCAGGTTCCCTTAAGGCTCCAGATTCTACATCAGGGTCAGCTACTGCGGGAGCTCCAGGCCAATGCCTCAGCCCAGGTGAGGGAGGGGAGGTTCTGATTCTTTTTTTTTTTTTTTTAATATTTATTTTCTTTAGCTTTCAGCAGACACAACATTTTTGTTTGTATGTGGTGCTGAGGATCGAACCCGGGCCGCATGCATGCCAGGCGAGCGCGCTACCGCTTGAGTCACATCCCCAGCCCGAGGCTCTGATTCTTGTTGCCACCTGTCCTGGCCTCTTGCTAGTACCCATCATACCCTGGTCTGTTCCCAGGAGCCAGGTTTTGCTGAGGTGCTGCCCAATCTGACAGCCCAGGAGATGGACTGGCTGGTGTTGGGGGAACTGCAGATGGCCCTGGAGAGGGCAGATGGGCCAGAAATGCGCATCAGTGGACACATTGCTGCCAGGCAGAGCTGCGATGGTGAGGCAGGGTGGGGCCTGGCACCTGAGGTACACTCATCCAAGAGGCACAAACAAGTGCCAGGGAAGAGGCCAGGGTGGATGGGGGAGACTCCAGGGGACTCAAGCTATGAGTGGCCATGTAGCAAGCCTGTCCTGCCCCTCTACAGTTCTGCAGAGTGTCCTTTGTGGGGCTGATGCCCTAATCCCAGTCCAGACAGGTGCTGCCGGCTCAGCCAGCCTCACACTGCTAGGAAATGGCTCCCTGATCTACCAGGTAAGAGTCAGGGACTGCAGGAGGTGGTAAGGGCTGTCACCATCCTCCTTTGCTGAAGGGATTCTTGACCTGTAATGGTTCAAGCCTCAGGCCTTTGCTGCCTATTCAATTTGCCTTCCCCCACCAGGTACAAGTGGTAGGTACAGGAAGTGAGATGGTGGCCATGACACTGGAGACCAAGCCTCAGCGGAGGAATCAGCGCACTGTCTTGTGCCACATGGCTGGATTCCAGCTGGGAGGACACATGGTGAGGCACCAGGCAGAGCCATAGTGCCAGGGTCACCAGTGGAATGCCTGGTGGATGTGCAGGGATATACAGTATCCTTCACTTACTCACAGACTCTCTCATTGATTAATTGATTCATTTGACATATTTTTAGTGATCCCCAGGCTAGGGTCTAGAGTACAAAGAATATAAGGTGTGGGGGCTGGGGTTGGTGGTGCACACCTGTAATCCCAGTGACTCAGGGGACAGGAGGATCTCTATCTAGTTGAAGGCCAGCCTCAGAAACTTAGCAAGGCCTTAAGCAACTTAATGAGGCCTAAGCAACTTAGCGAGAACCTGTCTCAAAATAAAAATTAAAAAGGGCTGGGGATGTGGCTCAGTAGTTAAGCACCTCAGGGGTGCTTAACTTGGTACTAAAAAAAAAAAGGAAAGAAAATCAGATGTGATCCTTGTCTTCAGCAAGCTCACAGTCAAATCAAATTGAGGTAGTTAAGAAGTACTGTGCAATACACTGTATAATAACTATGATAATATGGTTGCTACTATTGGACCTTTCTACTGGCTCCTGCACTGGTTATCTTATTTATATATATATTTTACTTTTACAGTACCCATTTGTAGATGAGGAATTGAAGGCTTGGAAATGTTAAGTAACTCTTCAAGGTTGTTACACATAGTTAAGAAGTAACAGAGGAGAGACTTGAAACTGGGCTTGCAAAGTTCTTATCCAGTGTTACTGGTGTGTAGAAATACATCTTATTGTAGTTGGGGCACAAAACATGGAAGGGCCTCAGCCTCTGGGCTTGTGTGAAAGCTGAGGGGGCTCATCCTTTCTTGCCCCCCAGGCTGTGGGTGTCTGCCCTGGGCTGGGTGCCCGAGGCACTCATATGCTGCTACAGAATGAGCTGTTCCTGAATGTGGGCACCAAGGACTTCCCAGATGGAGAGCTGCGGGGGCATGTGGCCACCCTGCCTTACAGTGGGCACAGTGCCCGCCATGATAGTGAGTGTTCCAGGGTTTGCTTGCCTTTCTGTATCCTTAGACTTGTGACTAACGCACATGAGGGATGGTGCCAGAGGGCCAGAGCCTAGGGAGTGTCTTTCTCTGCCTGAGATTCAGATTGACATCTGGAGAAGGTGGGAATGTAAGGGGATGGGGGGTCCTACTGGCAGACTCTCTCCCTGTTGCCATGGTGTAGGAGTCTAAAACTTGCTGCTCCCAGGCCTGGACCCATTGATGGTGCCTTTCAGCTTGCAGAGTCTATGTTGGGGGAGATAGGAATGCTGGGAGTAAGGGGTTGCTCTAGGCCACCTTCTCATCTACTCTGTCTCTGGACCCAGCATTGCCTGTGCCCCTGGCGGGAGCCCTGGTACTACCTCCTGTGCAGAGCCAGGCAGCTGGGCATGCCTGGTTTTCTCTGGATACACACTGTCACCTGCACTATGAAGTGCTGCTGGCTGGGCTTGGTGGCTCAGAACAGGGCACTGTCACTGCCCACCTCCTTGGGCCTCCTGGAATTCCAGGGCCCCGGCGGCTGCTGAAGGGATTCTACGGCTCAGAGGTGAGGACACGATGGTGGGAGACAGCTTGGGAAATCTTGCCTTTGTGTATGTGTGTGTGTGTGTGTGTATGTGTGTGTGTATTGCTGAAGATCAAACCCAGGGTCTTGTGCATGTGAGGCAAACACTCTACCAACTGAGCCATATCCCCAGCCTGGGAAATCTTGCTTTTTAGCTTGAAGGGATGTGTGGACCTGTGGTTGGGAAAGCAGAAAGCAGGCAGCCTGGTATTACAGAGGGGTATGGGCTTAGGAGTTAGGCAGGTCTTGATGTGAATCTGACTCAGCCTTTTATTATGCATTCTCCTTTCTAAGGACATCCCTTGTGTAGTATGTAATATTCTGGGACTCCAGAGGAGTAGTGGGATGGCCAAGCCACTGAAGTAGTTTGGGCTGCTGTGCACTTGGAGTCAGAGAGACCTGGTTTCCAAGTTCTGCACCATTGCCGTCTCCCTGGGTCTCAGTTTCTTCATCTGCAAATTGAGGGGCAGTAGTAGGCTCAGCCCTAACGTGCCTTGAACCCATCCCTCATTCTGTATCCCTGTAGGCCCAGGGTGTGGTGAAGGACCTGGAGCCCGAGCTGCTGCGGCACCTGGCACAGGGCACCGCCTCCCTGTTGATCACCACTAAGGGTAGCCCCAGAGGGGAGCTGCGAGGGCAGGTTGGTGGGCATTGTGGGCATTGGGGATGGTGTAATGGGGCTGGCCCTGTGTTCCTGTGCTTTCTCTGAGCCCCCAGTGGGTGGGGTGAAGGGGATAGTATCAAAGTGTGGCTGGTGGAGAGGATGAAGCCACACAAAGCCCCCGAAGGAGGGTGGCAGAGCACTGTCCTGTCCCTGCAGCTGGGATGATTGCTGAGGCTAATAGCCTCCTCCTGGGCGCCCTGGTGCTGAGGGGCGGACCTGCGAAGGTGGAGACTGGAGCGGGGGCCTAGATGCTGTCTCAGTTGGCCTCTTCCTCCCAGGTGCACGTCCGTAACCAATGTGAGGTGGGCGGCCTGCGCCTGGCTGCTGCCGGGGCCGAGGGGGCGGGGGCTTCTGGCGTTTCGGTTGCAGCGGCTGCGGCGCTGCCAGCGCTGCCTGTGCAGGCGGTCCCCGGCCCAGAAGCCCCAGCGCCGGTCAAACCTGGAGGCCCTGGGCGGCCCCGAGACCCCAACACGTGCTTCTTCGAGGGGCAACAGCGCCCGCACGGGGCTCGCTGGGCGCCCAACTACGATCCTCTCTGCTCACTCTGCACCTGCCAGGTAGGAGGCCCTGAAAGGGCGCAGTTGGAGCCCGGGGTCTGGGACTAGGAGTCCAGCACCCTGTCAACGCTCCCCTTCTCTCTGCAGAGACGAACGGTGATCTGTGATCCGGTGGTATGTCCACCCCCCAGCTGTCCACACCCGGTGCAGGCACCTGACCAGTGCTGCCCCGTGTGCCCCGGTGAGTTCCCTGCAGGGGAGCAGAGGTAGTGCAGGGGCCGCCCTCGGGGTTGCTTCCTTTAGGGAGGGATGGTCATCCTCTGTCTCACCATTTCTTTGGCTCCACAGAGAAACAAGATGTTAGAGACCTGCCAGGGCTGCCAAGGAGCCGGGACCCGGGAGAGGGTGAGCTGGAAGAGTGCCTGCAGGGTTGGAGCATCCAGAGGAGCCTTGGGTTGGACCAGGAGGGGGAAAGGAGAGAGAGAATCTACGTGTGTGGGGGTGAAGGGTACAGATTCCAAGTGACACCCGACAGACCTCATTAGTGTTACCAGTCACCCAGTAGGCCCTTGGGTTAGCTAGTGTGGGGCTGCCCTGAAGCTCAAGCCTTGGTTGTGGGCCCAGCTGATGAGCTCAGTACTAATGACAGCTGGGCACTGTCCCCCACCAGGCTGCTATTTTGATGGTGACCGGAGCTGGCGGGCAGCGGGTACCCGGTGGCACCCCGTCGTGCCCCCCTTTGGCTTAATTAAGTGTGCTGTCTGCACCTGCAAGGTATGGCTGCCCAATCTTCTCTGGTGCCATAACCCAGCGGGGTCTGCAGAGATGGGGAGGGGGCTGCCATCCTTGGTGAGGAAGGTTCAAGGATGAAAACACCATGAGAAAAATCCCTTGGGCTTTGAAAGCTGGTTTCCAGCTTCCTGTAGCAGAAGGGAAATGGCTGACCTGGGTGTGAATTCTGCCTCTGCTCCCTGACTGGCTCCATGTGAACCTGGGCATTTTCTGAACCTCCCTGAGCTTTGCCCTTTTCTCTCCTGTAAGCAAATGTGGTACCTACTTTGCAGGGCGCAATGATGAGGATCTGAGTCTAGGAGTATAAAGCAAGCCCAGGCCTCTGAATAAAAGGCCACACACATGTTTTATTTGAAGTGGTAAAAGGAGAGGGAGATTTATGTGTCCTCCCTTCTTCCTGACCCTTCACTCAATGGATCTCTACAGGGGGGCACTGGAGAGGTTCACTGTGAGAAGGTGCAGTGTCCCCGGCTGGCATGTGCCCAGCCCATCCGCGCCAACCCCACTGACTGCTGCAAACAGTGTCCAGGTGAGGGATTTGGGCACTGAGGCCTCACTTTTAGGACTGGGGCAGGCCTTGACCTGGGTGAGGAGGGGCATGATGAAGGTGAGGGGAAGGGGCTTCTCAGCTACTTCAGCACTGACTGACTGTGTCTGGCATGGAGCAGAGATCTAAATGCAGTGGGAAGAATGTGCATGTGCTACTGGGGTGTGATGGGCTTCAGTTCTTGCCCCGTCTGTCCATCTATCCATCAACTACTAAGTGCCAGAAACTGCTAGGTGTTGGGAATTCAAAGAGGAATAAAATCTCGTTGGCTCTCAAGGGTTGAGCCTTGCCTCTTTCTGCCAACAGTGGGGCCAGGGGCCCACCCCCAGCTGGGGGATCCCATGCAGGCCGATGGGCCCCGGGGCTGCCGTTTTGCGGGACAGTGGTTTCCAGAGAGCCAGAGCTGGCACCCATCTGTGCCCCCCTTTGGGGAAATGAGCTGTATCACCTGCAGGTGTGGGGTAAGTGGGAGCCTGTGTAAAGTGGGTAATGGGGGCCTGGTGGGGGGATAGCTTTCCAGGGAGGGCAGACTCCTGGAGGTGGGCCCTGGTGACCCTCAGCAACTGCTCTGTTCTACACCAGGCAGGGGTGCCCCACTGTGAGCGCGATGACTGTTCACTGTCATTATCCTGCAGTTCAGGGAAGGAGAGTCGATGCTGCTCCCACTGCACACCCCAGCGGCGTAAGTGAGGGTGGCCAGGGCAGCAGCTATGGGCTGGCTGCAGGGAGCCCAGGGAGGGAAGAGAGCCCCTGTGATGCCAGAGCCACAGAGTCTGCATCACAGGTGCCTTCCTAGCCTACCTTCATAGAGTGGTCTTGGGGTGTGGGCTGTTATTTATTACAATTTCTATTTAAATGAGATTTCTGAAGATCAGAGGAATTAGGCAACTACACTTTGGGCAAACAGTTGGTATGCATGGACTTGCTTGGAAAATTCTGGCGTTTCTAGGCCCAGAGCAGAGATACTCTGCTTGGCCCCTCTATGACTTTCTCCATGTCACTGTGTTCCCACTCTCCTCCTCCAACATCTACCCACTTCTGTCTGCAGCAGCCCCGGAGACCAGGACTGTTCCAGAGCTTGAGAAAGAAGCTGAAGGCTCCTAGGGAGCAGCCCCAAGGCCATATGACCAAGAGGATGGGGCCTGAGCTGGGGGAAGGGGTGGTGCTGAGGACCCTGCATTCTCCTATGGGGAAGCCCAGTGCCTTTGGTTCCTTGGTTCTGCCTCTTCTCCTTCCCCCACTACCTCTGGGAACCACAGCTTCACAAGGGGGAGAGGCAGCTGGGCAGACCAAGGCCATATCCACCCCAACTCCTGCCTTGTTACTGTCTGGCCTCTGGCCTAGAAGCCTACCCCCTTCCTTCTGTATATAATGTCACTGGCTTGTTGGGATTTTTAATTTATCCTCACTCAGCACTAAGGGTCCCCCCCACTCCACTCCTGCTGCCCCTGAGCTGAGCAGAGTCCTTATTGGAGATTTTTGTATTTATTAAAACATTTTTTTTTTTCAGTCTTTGGGCTTGCGGTGGATTCTTTGTAGCCAGGGACCTGAGTGGGCCCCAGTGGAGAAGAATCTGAGAGTAGGAGGCAAGTAGGATCTCTGGCTCCAAGGCCTTTCTTCTGACCCTCTGGAACTGGAGGAGTACTGGAGAGGGAACAGGATGGTGCAGTGGTTGGCTGTCATACCTGGATTCTGCAGAGGGACTTGAGATGATCCTTGAGATACACTGGAACCTCCAGAGCCCAGGCAACCTGAAGCAAGATTTAGACTGAAGTTTAGTCACCCATGGCTGGCATTTTTGCTGACTCCATTTTGATGTTGCTCCAAAGAGAGAAAAATGTTACTCACCTTTACTCTCCTTGTCTAAAGCAAGAAACACACTTTTATGTTTTTCTTTCCTGAAAATGAACTGTGTTCTGAACCCATTCTGGGGCAAGTCCAGATCTGAGTAGATTGGGATCCTCTCCAGTCTGGTTTTTGGCTGAGTTTATTTTGAGATCAAGTGATGTTGATGTGCAGCACAAAACACCCCTGTCCTTTTCCACCTTTCTCCCTTTACCCCTTATTCCTACAGGCTCCACAGGCTCTAGGGACATAAGGATAACAGCACAAAAATCTAAAATGTATGTACCTGCAGATCTGTTTCCTATAGGGTTAAATCTGGGATTTTACGATCTGGTAGAGCAGAGCCAGAGGGAGATGATAGCCTTTTATTTAGTGTCAGACATGTTGTATGTGAATAAGCAGTTATTGTCTTAGCTCATCAAAACTTCAAGTTCCAGTTCTGCTGTTAACTAGATGAATTATTTCACGTCCACAAACCCTTTTCCTTTCTGTAAAGCAGATACCTCCCCACAGGATACCATCAGAACAAGTGCTTGTATAGCTCAGTGTCTGGCACATACTCTAGCTATAGTGGGAGTTTTTGGAGTTGCTCTGGGTAAGGGAGAAATGTGGGGAGGAGAGTGGCATCGGGCTTCCATTATATCTGGCATGATGTTTGTGGAGGAGCTAAGCTGAGGATGAAGGGATGATAAGGACAGAGATAACTGAACTTGGGCCTTGACCTGTCATGGTAGGAGGATTATGAGGGCCAGGTAGGGGTGAAAGAGCAGCAGGATTCAGCATGGGGTTAAATGCAGAGAACTAAGCACAGCACCAACCATGGTATGGTGGAGGATTTGGTCTGAAAATGGATGCTGACAGTATTGTCTTTCTTGAAGGCATCGCTGAGTTGGGTCATCCACAGGGTGGATCAGTGGGCTCCATGAGGCAGAATCTCATCCTATGGATCCTGAATTGCAGGCACTTAGCAGGGATTTAGAGCAGGCCTCTAGATGTCAGCTGAGTGAATGAATGAACAGCTGATGGATCAGGCAGAGTAGAATCCTCTTCAGACAAATCTTTGAAATAACTTTCCCATCCTACCCTGCACTCCAACAAAGCTGGCTAGTCCCAGGCCCTGCTCAAGCCCCAAGGAGGTTGTGTAGTGACCCAGGAATTCCAATCCTTTGCATTTTTTGATGGACTTGATGTCAGGCCCCTTGGAGTCCTGGTGTGCAGATACCTCAAGAGGGGCGCCCCATTCATTTCTCTTTAGACAACTAACTGCACATAATGAGAGAGTCCTTTCTAAAGAAACCAAACCATACTCTAAAACAACCTAAGGAGGGTCAGTTTTCCTGGTTGGAACATTTTAGGGTCTCAAATTAGTAACTGGTAGGGTTTAAAATTTGGTATCTAATGCTGGGGACAATGAGGTCTTCTACATTGTAGAGGGTTTGACTGGCTTTCTCCAGCAGAAAGGCAGAGGTCATACATAGATGCTCTGAGTGACTGGACGAATGGGATAGTTCTGATACATCTATTTCTCAAAAAAGAAATTTTTCATGTTTAGTCTTCTACTTTGACATGTTCTACTGGTGGAACCACCTTTTATGAATTCCCAGTGACACCCTTTATTCATTATTTTATATGCAAAATCCAGGTTTGAGCTGTCAGGTGATGGACAGTCATTAGCTTGGAGCTATAGCCTCTTGGGGCTGCTGGCAGACATCAGCTCACTTTTGGCCAAGTCACCAGAGCAGTGTCTGTGTGTTTGAATAATTTATGACAGTGACTTATGAAAGGTAGTTTTCACACTGTGATCATAGACTTCTAAAAATGCCTCCAGGAAGAAGGAGAAATGAGGGGGTAACCGGGCATCTACTGGGACTGGGGATCCAGGGCCCCCATTTTCATGAGAGATGTTCAACTACTAGCAAAGATTGCATTCTAAAGACCAGTGGGTTGCTTTAAAAAATTTTTTTCAGAACGACAGTATTTTTTTTTTTTTTTGCATTTCACCCCTTTGTCTTTTATAAGAATAATGGAAAATAGAAAAAGCAAAAGTGACACTCTGACATAACACAAGTGACAGGAGAGTTTTCACAGAATTGGGGCAAGGAATGATTTCACTGAGCATTCTGGGAGAGACATATTTTAGCTTGTCACATTTTAAGGTAGTTAGAGATGTGTGAAGAAGACATCTATGTATGAAATGCATGGAGATGATATATGCAGTGTCTATGTATGTGGTCAGGGTCATACCTTTGTTACAGATGACAAAAAAAGAGGGCTTCTTGGGCATTCTGGAGTGATTTTAGTCCTCTGAGAATGAAACCGCCTCTTGTACCATTGTTTGGCTTAAAAAAAAAATATTTAAATTATATTATTATTATCTTGGTACTGGGGATTGAACCCAAGGATGCTTAACCACTGAGCCACATTCCCAGCCTTAAACGTTGTCGGTAGACAGAATGCCCTTACTTTGTTTTCTCTTACATGGTGCGAAGGATCCCAACCCAGTGCCTCACTAGGCAAAGTGCTCTGCCACTGAGCTCCAGCCCCAGCCCCAGTGTTTGGCTTTGACACTGGTTTCATGTACAAAGAGAGCTGTCAGAATTGTTTTTGCTCCTCATAAAAGTAAATTTTGTGAATAATTGTGGTAATATGAAAATAGATGAAGAAAGAATAATTCACTTGGTACTCCGACTCCTGGTAACAGATTAAAAAAAAAAAAAACAACCCACTGAGTCGTTTTCTGAGGTGTAGTTAGTTAAGACATTTAGTTGCCCAGATCCACTCCCATTCTGGGTCTTGCCCCTGCAGTCCTCACAGTGAAGTGGCTGTGATGTCCCAATTTGGGATATTCTTGTGGCAGCCGCTGGAGCTGGAGTACACGTACAAACAGGGACAGCAGTGGAACACACGTGTGGGTATCTGTCCTTTGGCATGGAAAATGTCTAGGGAGACACAAAAAGAGAGAAAAAAAAAATCCCCAACAGCTCAGAGAATCTGGCAAATTGACATTCAGTGATTTGATTTTCAGCAAACTGACTAGAGGCCACCAGTGGGGGCCCGGCTCCTCCACCGATGGGTGTAGAGTGGGCTTGGAGTTTGTTCTATCTGCATGCAGCAACAGAGGTCCTCCAGAGGAAATGTCTCCTGGCAGCCAGGGGCCCTACTCTTTGGGAGGTGTCATTCCCAGTTTCTTCTTGTCTTTTTTCCTTTGTGGGTCTGGCTCATGGCAGAGCCACAGTCTTTTTGTGAGGTTTCTTCTCTTTTGGAACCTCCTGCATCCTGCTGAGGTCGCTGGTCTCTGGGACAGAGACTCGCTGTCTCGTGTGTGGTGGGACTGGCACGGTACCCGTGGAGGTAGCAGGTGCCAGTTGAAGGAGAACAGCTTGATGAGCAGTGCACTGGTCTTTCTCCATTCAGGGGCAGAAAGACTGCTGCCTAGGTTTGGGGAAGACAACCTGCCAAGTACATGTTCTTTCAGCCTAGCCAGCTGGTGGACCTCATGAATCTGACGTGGCTGGCAAAGAAGCACATGAAACTGGAGCAGGTGGCCATGGCTGTGACTTTCCACAGGCATGGCAAGAACACCCTGGAGATGACATATGCAGCCTGCTGCTGCTGCTGCCCACATTCCTGGTGACCCTGGGGCTTTGAACATGGAAATCTGGGTCCTGAGAAGCTCTGGCTTTGAGGGAAAGTGAGGAAGACCGGGACATTCTGTCTAATAAGACTATTAAAAAAGTAAAGAACTAGTTCTTTACAACACAAAACATCTGTTGTTTTTCTTCTGCTTTTTGTATTGCAGTAGTAGAGACATTCTTTATAGTGAGGGGAGAGTTGGGGTAGGGGCTAAGAAGCAGCGAGACAGGAGGCTGCAGAGAAAGGCGGCCAGGGAGACACATTCCATGGAAAAGTGGCTGAAGGGATTTTACTAGGCACTGTTTATCTTGTAAATTATTAACAGGTAATAATTGCATAACAAAAGCACAAAATAATATGTAGGGCATAGTCTCTTCCTCCCATGCCATCCCAGACATCTAGGTCCATCCCTTGGAGAGACCCATTACTGCTATTTTTTTTTTTTTTTTTTTTTGCATACAAGGAAAGCCTTTGAGAACTGGGGTGTCAAAGTTTTACACATATCTGTGATATAAACCTGGAGCTTCCAGCTTTGCAAACTTTATTGTGCACTTGAATCATCTGGGAATTTGTTAAAATGCAAATGCTGATTTCGAAGGTCTGGGGTGGGCCTGAGATTCTACATTGCTGTCAAGTTCCCAGAGGCGGCTGCTGCTGCTGCTGCTACTGCTGCTGCTGCTGCTGCTGGACCAGGGATCCGTATGAATAGCAGGGCTGTAGACAGTTCCTCACTCAAACTTTCAGCAAAATTTGCCATATCATCAAGATTTCACGTAAGTTTATTCACTCGACTAAGATGTATTGAGTATCTTCTTTGGGTCAGGCACTGTCCTAGGTGCTGGGGAGTCAGCAGTGAATCAAATGGACAAAAAGTTCTGTCCATGTGGGATTTATGATTTAGTGGGAGAAGACTGTCAATAAATGTCTTAGCTTTCTGTAACTGTAAAAAAGGACCCAAGGTAATCAAGTTAAAAGGATGAAAGGTTTCTTTGGGCTGACAATGTCAGAGGTTTTCGTACGAGGTCAATGGCCCT